AACTTGTTAGAAGACGATGTATCGGTATGTGTTTTTCGTAAACGCCACAAAGACTTAGAACCATTTTTCAATATGGAGAATAACTTGGTTTTCTGCAGTAACATTAACGGCTTACTGGCGGCTTTAAATATAAACTATAACCCAGAAGAATGGAGATTGTTTATAGACAGTTCAACATTGAGTTTAAAGGCAGTGTTATTGCATATTGGAAATATTTTACCATCTCTTCCTGTAGGGCATGCAGTTCACATGAAAGAATCATATGACAATATGAAGAACCTATTGACATGCATAAAATACGATGAGCACCAATGGCATATTTGTGGCGATTTGAAAGTTGTTGCACTTTTACTTGGGCTGCAGCTAGGCTACACAAAGTTTTGCTGTTTTTTGTGTGAATGGGACAGTCGGGCAAAGGCACTTCATTACACCAGACAAAACTGGCCTGTTCGTCAATTCCTAGAGCCAGGTCAAAAAAATGTGCAGCATATGCCATTAGTAGATTCGAAAAAAATTTTATTACCACATTTTGAAAGATACACAGTTTGAAAACACTTTAACAGGTATTGAAAAAACTGCTTGGAATGATTTTCGTCTGGTGGTCACTAATTTCTTGGGAAATAGAAAAGCTGACAACTATAAAATCCTTGTCAAAAATTTGCTGTCATCGTATCAAAAGATGGGCTGTAATATGTCTCTTAAGATACATTTCTTACACTCACACCTGGACTTTTTTCCTGACAATTGCGGAGCCGTAAGTGATGGGCACGGCGAACGTTTTCATCACGATATTTCAACAATGGAAAAAAGGTACCAGGGAAAGTGGAATCCTTCCATGCTTGCAGACTACTGTTGGACTCTTGGTAGAGATGCTCCAGAAACGATCCATAAAAGAACAGCAAAAAGACAGCGCATATAGTGATTCTTATAAGTATATGAATCTTGTTACTTTTTTTAATATATCCTTAAAAATAAAAAGTTTTTTTTCTAAACCGCAACTAATTTTTTTATTTTTGGATTCAGCGCCCCAAAATTAACAAAGAAGTGCACTTTTCCCACAAGATACAATTAAAAAACTAAAATTTGTTGTCCAGTGTAATTACCGTATCTCTAAAACTTGAACTAATATTGAAAAAATAAGTTTCATTCCGGTTTTAGCACATTAAAAATAGTAATATTTTGTTGATTTTATTTAGGATATTTTTGGCTGTTGATCAGTGTAATGCATTGGAACCTTTAAAAACAAATATCTCGAAAACTGTTAGCTTTAAACACTTCTAACAAGTAAACCTTTTTTATTGTGGAAATACGAGAAAATAAGATTTTTCAGTCAGTTGTTGTATACAGGGTAGCACAAAAAAGTCATGGTAAGTTATTTACCGAAATAGTGCTGTAAGCGGCACCCTGTGGAAGTTTGGCCATAAAAAATAACGGGTTCTTGTTTGTCGTACTAGAAAACCTCCCTATACCGAGTTTTATGCCAAAATCTGAAATGCTTCTCAAGCAACAAGGAAAAATAGGAAATAAAATTGTAACTTTGGCACCCTGTATCTCGCGTACTGTCAACTTTTGGATCAAGATATGTTCAGGTCAATTCACATATTTTGGTCTGTTGTATCTCCAGTTTCGAGATTTCCCCACCTTTCGCAGACACCCTGTATAATAGGCTCCTGGAGTATTTAAAACGAATAAAATGCCCTCAACATTTCAAAATAAAAAAATATCTACTTAATCTGTAATATGATGCAAATGTCCAAGTAAAAGCACAATGATTTTACTATTTTGTACATGGGTATTATTTTGCTTTCTCAATTGTACCTCGATAAACTTGTAAACATTTCTTGAGATAAATATAGTTATATACAGGGTGTCCCAGAAGTCGACGTCAAGCCGAAAGCGGGTGATAGGCAAAGTCATAACAGCTATCAGAAAAATATTTAAGAAAATTTTATGTATGTGTTTTGAAAATTATAGGTCTTTGAAAAAGATATAGAAATTTCACACCCTACGGCAGTCTGTCAACTCCTGTTACTACAAATATTAACTTTTTTCGATTTTATTTTTACAATGTAATGATGAATAATGCATCTTCAAACTGGTGTCTCAGCCTTACTGCCAACTTTTCTCGTTCAGGAAAAATTGCCACTTATTTTCCAACCAAGTATTCCAAAGTAAAACTTTGCTCAACTTTAACTGGCTGACTGGAAAAAATGTACTACGAGAGTTTGGCAAGTAACCTTAAAAGTTGGCGCATTTAATAACGATTCCAAAATGGTATAACACTTAGAAGATTACTCGTTAACTTATGCACAATTTTCATTTGAAAAAAAACTTTTTTCAAAATTTCCTAATTAAACAGCGATTATGAAAACGCAGAAGGACCCTTAAGGATAACTGTTTGCACAACAGTGGGCGTCAAAATGCTGCTGCTGATGATTTACCTTTACAGTAAATACTCAAACTGTTTTCCTTCAGCCGCAATACACGCTCGACATCTTAAAAAAGATCGGGTTATTAAACGAGCGAATCCACGGTTATTAACAAACTCAGCTGCTTCCAATAGTCTTTGCCGTAGTTCAGCTACATTTTGAATCGGCTTGAAATACACTTTTTCTTTTACAGTTCCCCAGTAAAAAAAGCTAAAGGATTCAAATCAGGTGATCGGGCTGGCCACGGTATTGTACCAGACCGCCTTATCCATCTGCCTGGAAAGTTTTGATCGAGATACTCTCTCACTGAGAGTGCATAGTGCGCTGGGCAGCCATCATGCTGAAACTACATGTCCCTGTAAATACTCAGTGGCACGTCCACCAATAAATTTTGTACATGATTTTTCAAAAAATCCAAATAAACTTCAGCAGTCAAAGTCTCTGGGAACTCAAACGGACCGATTATTTTACCATTTGAAATTCCTGTCCAATGGTTTATCTTGAAGCGATATTGAGATTTATCTTCTCTCATCAAATGTGGGTTTGCTACGTGCCACTTGTGTAAGTTATGCAGGTTCATGTACCCATCTTTCTTACATGTGGTCTCATCTGACCATAAAATTTTTTCAAAGAACTGTGGATCTTTCCTGTGTCTTTCTAACATTGTGCGACAAAAAGCAACTCGGGGCTCATAATCCCGGGGCAGGAGAGGTTGAACACGCTGTATGTGGTATGGATGAAGCACATCACTTACTTGCTATTGCACACTTTGATTTCGTACTGTTACTAATTTTGGATTCGTGAACTGGATTGTTGATCGCTTGTGATTTGGATTTGGACTGTTTAATTGCTCTTCAAAACAACATTTGCTTTCCTTAGACTATCTTTGATAGTGTGATTGTGCAGTGCCGCTATGTCCGTGTACACCGTACAAGAATATGCTAACATGCACCTCATTTATGGGGAATGCAGATGCAACGCTAGTGCTGCAGCGAGACTTTACTGTGAGAGGTACCCGAATGCAGCTCGTCATCCAGATCATCGAGTGTTCACCAATGTGCACCGCTTACTGTTCTCAGAGGGCCAACTACCAAACCAATCACACGGTGAGGGAAGATCTTTCCTTCCTTACGAAGACGTGGTGCTAGGAGCTGTCGAAGAAGACCCGAGTACTTCAGTGCGTGCAATAGAACTAAAAACAGGTGTGCCCAAAAGTACAGCCCATAGAATCTTGCAAAAAACGTGCTCCATCCATACCACGTACAGCGTGTTCAAGCTCTTCTGCCCCGGGATTATGAGCCCCGAGTTGCTTATTGTCGCACAATGTTAGAAAGACACAGGGAAGATCCACGGTTCTTTGAAAAAATTTTATGGTCAGATGAGACCACATTTATGAAAGATGGGTACATGAACCTGCATAACTTACACGAGTGGCACGTAGCAAACCACATTTGATGAGAGAAGATAAATCTCAATATCGCTTCAAGATAAACCATTGGACAGGAATTTTAAATGGTAAAATAATCGGTCCGTTTGAGTTCCCAGAGACTTTGACTGCTGAAGTTTATTTGGATTTTTTGAAAAATCATGTACAAAATTTATTGGTGGACGTGCCACTGAGTATTTACAGGGACATGTAGTTTCAGCATGATGGCTGCCCAGCGCACTATGCACTCTCAGTGAGAGAGTATCTCGATCAAAACTTTCCAGGCAGATGGATAAGGCGGTCTGGTACAATACCGTGGCCAGCCCGATCACCTGATTTGAATCCTTTAGCTTTTTTTACTGGGGAACTGTAAAAGAAAAAGTGTATTTCAAGCCGATTCAAAATGTAGCTGAGCTACGGCAAAGACTATTGGAAGCAGCTGAGTTTGTTAATAACGAAGATAATAAAGAAGATGTCGAGCGTGTATTGCGGCTGAAGGAAAACAGTTTGAGCATTTGCTGTAAAGGTAAATCATCATCAGCAGCATTTTGACTTTTGACGCCCACTGTTGTGCAAACAGTTATCCTTAAGGGTCCTTGTGCGTTTTCATAACGCTGTTTAATTAGGAAATTTTGAAAAATTTTCATCAGTTTTTATTCAAATAAAAATTGTGCGTAAGTTAACGAGTAATCTTCTAAGTGTTATACCATTTTTGAATCCTTATTAAATGCGCCAACTTTTAAGGTTACTTGCCAAACTCTCGTAGTACATTTTTTTCCAGTACAGCCAGTTAAAAGTTGAGCAAAGTTTTACTTTGGAGTACTTGGTTGGGAAATAAGTGGCAATTTTTCCTGAACGAGAAAAGTTGGCAGTAAGGTTGAGACACCAGTTTGAAGATGCATTATTCATCATTACATTGTAAAAATAAAATCCAAAAAAAGTTAATATTTGTAGTAACAGGCGTTGACAGACTGCCGTAGGGTGTGAAATTTCAATATCTTTTTCAAAGACCTATAATTTTCAAAACACATACATAAAATTTTTTCAAATATTTTTCTGACAGCTGTTATGACTTTGCCTATCACCCGGTTTCGGCTTGACGTCGACTTCTGGGACACCCTGTATAATTATAGAATCGCACTTACTGACTCCTTCAAGCCGTTTCACGCTGCGACTCGTTTTGATGTAAACGGTTCGTACTATATAGAAAAGTACGGCCACCACAGCTGTTGGTGCGAGTAGTATAGCATCTATGCACGCCAGAACAATAATGGCCCCAGTCAAATTCAGCAACAACTGTATATAAAAAAGAAGGGTAACGTTTTCCAAAACGTTCATTTCGACCAAATATACGTAGTATACAGGGCGTTCGAAAAATAGACGGAGATATTTTAATGGGTGATTCGTTGTTAAAAAATATGAAAAAAGTTTTTTAAACATGGGTCCGGAAATGCAGAGTTTTCAAGATACAGGGTGATACATTTAAAAAAGATATACTAGTATCTTAACAAAAATTACTCGATTCTTTAGCCCTGAATATATTAAAATTACCAGGTCCAGTGGCGACCCAGCGAATATTATTTTCAAAAAAATGTACGCCACTGCCTTTTTGTAACTTTGTTGCTTGGTTGAGCATCCAAAGATGCAACTTCTTGGGCTCATGTATCTCATTTCGTTTTCGCGCCAAAAAATAGCAGGGAATGAAAAAAGTTTAAAAGTAGAACCGAAAAAAAAACACCATATAATAAGAGATCACACGCGTCGCCCCATGGCGACGGAGGCACAGCAGTCTAGACATCAGTGTCGCCAATAGGCGGCAGGGACATTAAACGTGTTAAGGGTAAAAAGAAAGGACCGATTAAATGGTCACCAACAACACCCATCCCGGCATTTGAAGAAAATTGTTCCTGGTGGCGACATTGTACGTAGTAATGTATGATTTTAATAAAATTCCTGTTATTATTAACCTTTTGGTAATACTGTAGCGTTTTTCTAGGTTCTTTTGGGTGTGGATTAAAACACTGGATTCCACAAAAAGAAATGCACTCATTCATTCAACATTTATGTACACCGCTATCTATGTCTGACTAATACTTATGTCGCCATTGACTGCACTATACTCCACTCCGCTCTGCTACTCAACCGTATTCACTACTCTGCTTCCATCTCCCGGCCGCCGAGTTATATATAGTCCCCATTGCTGCTTCGAGAAAGGTCTGGTGAGCCACAAGGCGGCATCTAGAATATTGGAGGTCACTTCGTGTCGATCTAGAAGGCGATCCGCTGTCGCGATCCTCACAGACGCCGACAAGCGGCTTGTGCGGTCATGGTCCGCGTAAAAGCAGAGATCGGACATAAGCTCTGGCGAGTAGGAGTGCTGTATGAATGACTACCCCCTAATCTAAATGCTATAGTAGTGGTACTGATACCAGGATTTTGTTCCACAACACGCAAAAGTGCCTCGTCAAACTCAGGCGTCCTACGGACATCGGGCGTCCTCTATCTTTGATGAAATGGCAAAGCCTTGTAAATAAGATTATTGTCAAAAACATCACGAAAGAGAAATAAGAAAATTTACCTCTTTACCGTAATCTATGGACTACGCTTTCAAATGTTTTACTATACTAAGTGACATATAAATCCGAACACCCAGTTTAAATGGTTTTATTTTAATAAAAGTTGGTGAATGTATTTATCTTACTGTAAATAACAAGTGAAAAAATTTTCAGCCTTATCAGTTGGACATTCCGGTTTTTATACTGCTTGTTTTTAATTCACTAACGCTCTAAATATGAATATTTATAATAATATTATATGTATAATATATAATATCGGTTACGATGCCTAGAGTACGGAGACCTGTACGATTTCGTCAATTTAGTGAGTTTGATAGGGGCCGTATAGTGGGACTTCGGGAAGCTGGACTTTCTTTTCGGGCAATTGCAGTTAGAGTGCACAGAAGTGTAGACACTGTGGTTAGGTGTTGTCAGGCTTGGCTTCGAGAAGGCCGTACGCAAAGAGCACGGGGCACTGGACGCCGCCGTAGAACAACAGACCGTGATGATCGCCGCCTAAGATTATTGGCCTTAAGGGACCGTTTCTCCACTACCAGGTGCATTGCAAATGAATGGTTTGCAGAACACGGAAGACCTATTGGCATGCGAAGTGTTTACCGACGAATGAGAAGTTTTGGCTTGTTTTCATACCGGCCACACTGGGTCCTCCCTTTAACTCAAGAACTCCGACGTAATCGCCTTGAGTGGTGCAGACAACGGTCACTCTGGGATCAGGAATGGAACAGTATTGTCTTTAGTGACGAGTCTCGATTTTGTTTAGGCATGCACGATGGTCGTACCAGGGTTAGAAGGCGACGTGGTGAAAGGAGGAATCCACAGTTTTTTGTTGAAAGACATGTTCATCACACTGTTGGAGTTATGGGTTGGGGTGCTATAGCTTATGGTTCCAGGTCACCTTTAATCTTCATCAGAGGTAACATGAACGCGCAGCGTTATATCCACGAAGTTCTAGAACCCCATCTTTTACCCTATCTTGACACCCTAGCAGATCCAACTTTCCAACAAGATAATGCCCGACCACATGTTGAAAGAGTCACAATAGACTTCTTTCAACATAATGATGTCACATTGTTACCATGGCCACCAAGATCTCCCGACTTATCCCCAATTGAGCACGTGTGGGATATGATGGGTAGTAGATTGCTCAATTTGCAACGTCCTCCTCAGACTCTAGAAGCACTTCGAGAGGAGTTGGTGGTTGCCTGGAATGAGATACCACAGGAGGACATTGACCACGTGATCAGAAGCATGCCTAGGCGCGTTGGAGAATACGTAGCACATCAGGGTGCATCCACACATTATTAAAGGTTAAAGGGCTTTAAAGCAGTGCAATCATTTTGAATTTTTTATCATTTACTTATTATGCTTCATTAAGTACTTATACAAAATTTTATTAAAATAAAACCATTTAAACTGGGTGTTCGGATTTATATGTCACTTAGTATATATGGAAGTTCCGATGGGGAAACGCTTCTGCACACTATGAGCACTATGAAAGTATAATTTTCCGTTACAAAAACCGAGACAAAAACTTTTTCGACAAATTTTGCAAAGAAAATCTCGTGGATAATTCTTTTCAAGAAGAACTGACGCGTAAATGTCAAACCTTTATGCAGAAATGATTTTTTGTTTTCTAAGGCACTTGAGATTTTTTCAGCAAACATTAATAAACCAATGCACATGCAATGAAACGGTTTTTATTTTTTGTTTCTCGAAAACGAAGTGGGATACGAAAAAAAAAGAGACAAGGAACTTGTATTCTTAGATACTCAACAACAAATATTAAAGTTACAAAAAAGGCAGTGGCGTACATTTATTTAATAATATTCGGTAAGGTGCCCTTTGGGACGTCATTGGACCTAATAATTTCAATCTATTCAGAGCTAAATTAGCCTCTTTATACAGCAAATAAAATTGGCAAATTTCAATAGAATCCAGTATAATTTTTTATATATTATTTTTTTTTAATTTAATACCCTGTACCTTGAAAACTATGCATTCCCGGAGCCACGTTTATAAAAACTTTTTTTTCATACTTTTTAACAAGGAATCATCCTCTAAATTATCTCCGTCTATTTTTCAAACACCCTATGTAAACTTATGATGCAATATTGTTATATTCTATTATTATTATTATTATTATTATTATTGAGGATGGACTTCAGCGATATGCTACTAAAATTACATAATCATCTCGCGTTGTCAGCTTAACATGAAAGGTACTATTACATCATACCTACTCGAATTTATTGATATTAGGAATAAACATCAAATCTTATTTTGCTGATTTACATTTTATGAAATATATTTTTTACCTGTACGGTATCTATGAATGCATAGGGCAAAAGCTCATCTACAGAACCCAAGTCTTTCGAAAACCTGTTCAAAATTCTTCCAGAGTTGTTCGTGTTGAAGAAGTACATAGAGGCATGAACGACGCTGTTGAACATCCTGTTGTGCAATCTAAAATATTTGAAACAAATAACACATATTTTTCGGGGCGTAATCAAATGTTACAAATATGTTTGCAGAAAGATCATTTATGTCGCACATGTGTTCATTTATGCAAAAATTCAAAAAACCTGCGAAACCACATGAAATTCATTACCTATTTCAGAGTTAGTACAGGGCGTCGAGTAGGAAAGTTCACATTTCAAATTTGAATTACTCGGCAACCGCATACGCGAGGAAGTGAGGAGAGGTTTTGATCGACGCGTTCCGCGTGCGGGTTAAATAGTCACGATGAAACGTTGGACCGGAGCATAACGTACTTTTGCTCTCGAGGTTTACGTTAAGAGTAGTGATTCATACGCAATTTTGTACACGATACAGCATTCGCCGACCAAGAGATGCCCAAAGTAAGAACCTATTGGAAAAGTGGATTAAGGGGTTCCGTGAAACAGGCTCTACTCTCAGTCCACCCATTCCTGGCCACACATCACTGTATCAACCGAGGAAAATGTGCGTCGAGTAAGTGATTGGGTCATGTTTTCCGGACGTAAACTCACTCCACTCTCGGAATGTCCGGGTGGAGGGTGGGCTCGAGGGAACAACATCGAAGATAAAATTTGTTTTTCGAACATCTGCGGGATCAACAGCAACATTGATGCTGTTCATCACTACCTGCAATCCAATCGTCCCGCCGTGCTTTTCTTGGCGGAGACAAAAATCTCAGAGACTGCACCGATTAACCATCTCAACTTCCCAAACTACGAGGTGCACTCCAATCTGAGAAAGAACGGGGGAGTTGTGGCTTTTGTCCGCAGCAGTCTTTCCTGCTCCAGGGATCTTTCTTTGGAATCAGACCGGAAGGACATTCTGTGGCTTCGCCTCAACTCCAAAACATCACCCAAATTTATTTGCTGCCTTTATCGCTCTCCCTCGAACCATAACTGGGATGACCTACTCGAATACCTCGCCGTCCAGATCGACTTCCTGAACATCAATCACCCCGCTTCAGAGGTAGTTCTTCTCGGTGATTTCAATGCCCATAATGAGCTTTGGTTGGGCTCAAATAAGACCGATGCAGCAGGTCGTGCAGTCGAAGCGTTCGCTCTTACTCAAGGGCTCACCCAGCTGGTGACGAGCCCTACTTTTTTCCCCCGCGTCTCGTCACACACCAGTAGCCTGCTAGATCTCTTTCTGACCACGCATCCTGCCCCTTACAGCACTGCTGTCCTGTCCCCCCTGGGTAATTCAGATCACGGTGTTGTGGAGGTTAGGTTTCGGTCAGAAGCCGCTGTGGCAGCAGAAACTCGCACAGGCCGCAAAACTTGGCATTACGGACATGCCGACTGGGAGGGGCTCAGAGACTTCTTCTCTAGCTTTCCTTGGAGAGATGTCTGTTTCACTGACGCGGATGCGTCGACTGTCTGTTCTTCAATAACCGAAATTATCCACGTCGGAATGGAGGAATACATCCCTCACACAGTGAAAGTTCCTAAACCAGGGTCCAACGGCTGGTTCAACAAATCGTGTGACACTGCTCGCCAGCAGAAGATCAAGGCCCACAGAACCTACTTACAAAACCCCACTGTAGAGAACAGACAAGCCGACGTCGAGTCCAGAAACAAATATAACGAAGCGGTTCGCAATGCCAAAAACCAGCATGATATAAAAGTTAGGCACAGGGTAATGTCGCAGCGCAATGGCAGTCGGTCTTTCTGGACGCTGGCCAAGCAGATTGAAAAGAACTTCTCACACAGTAGCCTTCCACCACTTACGTGTCAGGATGGAACTATTGTATTCGACTCAAAGGCCAAGGCGGAAGTGCTAGCCAAGATCTTTGCTGCCAACTCCACCATGGACGTCCCCACCAACGCCCAAGTGCCGTCAATTCAAAGGGTTCCCCACACTATGCGGGGGGTAACATTCAGGCATAAGACCGTAAGACGAGTGCTCTTGTCGCTCGACATCAACAAAGCTTCTGGTCCGGACTTGATTCCTGCCATTGTACTGAAGAGATGTGCAGCTGAGCTTGCTCCAGTTCTTTCGCGTCTCTTCCAGATATCTTATGAATCCGGCACCTTCCCAGAAAACTGGAAATTTGCTCATGTACAGCCCATCCCAAAAAAAGGATCTAAAACCGACCCTTACAACTACAGGCCTATAGCTCTGCTTTCTGTTATAAGTAAAGTGATGGAGAGGTGCATAAATCGCGAGCTTCTGGACTACCTCGAACGTCACAGCTTGATTAGCGACAGGCAGTACGGTTTCCGGCACCAACGATCCACAGGGGACCTCCTAGCTTACGTCACGCAACTGTGGAGTAAACTCATCCAGTCTCATGGTGAGGCTCATGTCGTTGCTCTTGACATCACGAAAGCGTTCGATCATCTGTGCCCTCTTAAGCAAACTTCCATCCTACGGCCTCCCAGAAAAGCTTTGCAGATGGGTGGCTGACTTTATCTCTGGCCGCAAGATCCGTCGTAATTGACGGGTTCTCCTCTTCATCCCACAACGTCAACGCGGGTGTTCCCCAGGGATCGGTCTTGGTTCCAACACTGTTTCTCTTACATATCAACGACCTCCTTTCCTGCACGATCAACCCAATCCACAGCTTCGCTGATGACAGCACTCTACATGCAGGAATTCAGAGTGACAAGCCGATATCTGCCGCTGAGCTGGAAAAAAGAAGACTAGCGACGACTTCTTCTCTGACAAGAGACCTGGAGGCTATCACTGCTTGGGGACGCAACAATCTTGTACAGTTCAATGCTTCCAAAACACAGTACTGTACCTTGACGAACAAAAAGCGTCCTAGCGCTCATACAGTTTCGATGGACGGTCGAGTTCTACCAAAGAGCCATTCATTTCGGCTGGTCGGAGTCCAGATCACCGAGGACCTGATCTGGCACGAACACATCTCTTCAATAGCTGCAGCTGCTGGGAAAAAGCTAGGCTATTTGTTTAGGGCTAAGAAGTACTTTTCTCCGCATGACCTTCTCACTCTATACAAGGCCCAGATAAGGCCTAGCCTCGAGTATTGCTCACACATTTGGGGTGCTGCCGCCCCGACTGCATTGTCCATGCTCGATGCTGTCCAGAGGAGGGCGGTCCGACTGATCGATGACTCTTCTCTAACAGACAGTTTCGGGACTCTTTCGCACCGGCGGGCCGTCGGCGATCTAGCTCTTTTCTATCGCTACACCAACGGGCTTTGCTCCTCAGAGTTCTCTTCCATGATGCCGCCGCGCGATGCGCCTGCCAGACAGACCCGCCTGACTTCGGCATCCCATCCTAACCGTGTCAAACTTCGTACATCCAGAACTGGCCGATACGACCGCTCCTTTGTCCCGAGGGTGTCTAGATTGTGGAACAATCTACGGGAGGAAGCTTTTCCCAGTTCTACTAGCCTTAGGCAGTTCAAAAATCGTATTAACAAAATTTCTTTGGGATCATCATAGCAGCCGCGGTGTTCCGGCATTTAGGCTTCTGCCTGCGCGGCTGTTTCGATATAAAAAAAAAACAGTGTCATAAGGCTCTGGTGTATCAAATTCCGAGTGGCAGACTTTACATTGACATTTTTTATTCGAAGAATGGACAATGAAAATAAAAAACTAAAAAGGCTAATCTTGCTAAGTCTTACCGCATAGAAGCCCGCATGCATACAGCAAAGAATATCAATGACCTCGTTATGGCGACCAAAATGGTAGGGAGCATGATGGCAGTATAGATCCAAATGCATTCTTGGCGCGAAAGCTTATCGTAAAATCCCATAGACGATGCATCTCCGTGATGATATCTCAATTCTTCTAACGTTACCCTAGAAGGATATAATTAAAAATGCATCGAACCTTAAAAATCGAAATATCTCAAAAACGGCTAACTATAACGAAACTCACAAGAGAGCTTTTTTATACAGAAAAGTGCGAGGAATCAGTTTTTTTATTCAAAAAGCAAAAAATTGCACTAAGAAAAATGTTTCGGTCATTTTAATACACTACAGGTACAGTACAGAGCGCCCTCTAGCGGCTACAGTAAAACTAAGCCAATGGTTCGTTTTGTCGTACCAAAATACCTTTGTATACCAATTTTCACTGTTATACATCAAATATTGTTCGAAATATTTAAGAAAAACTATTTTAGAAAGTAAATTTAAACACGCTGTATTTCGGAAGCCACGCATTTTTCGACCCATGTTTATATAAACTTTATGCATTAATTTTAAAAGTTCTATCGAATCTTAAAGTTATGCAATAATAAACTGATATCGCAAGATGATTAATAATTGCGACTAGTTACCATTTAGACAAAAAGAAGTCTCCGCCGCTAGCGAAACACTGGGCACCCAAGAAAAACATCACCATGATCAATATAATGCACCAATTTCCTCCTGCTCTGAAATACTCTTTATAATTGACCAAGTCCACTTTTCCAAATGATGTAATTTCTGCGATAAACAAAGGTTTCGCCTTGAAACAAATAACAAAGATACGTTAAATTTACAACTGTATACTGTAGAACATTGATTCCCAAAGCGGTCTATATCGACCCCTAGGGGTCTATGACAACCTGCAAGGGGTCTACGTCAGCGAAAAAAATAAGTGACATATAAATCCGAACATCCAGTTTAAATGGTTTTATTTTAATAAAATGCACCCTGTGGATGCACCCTGATGTGCTACGCATTCTCCAACCCCCCCAGGCATGCTTCTGATCAGGTGGTCAATGTCCTCCTGTGGTATCTCATTCCAGGCAACCACCAACTCCTCTCGAAGTGCTTCTAGAGTCTGAGGAGGACGTTGCAAATTGAGCAATCTCCTACCCATCATATCCCACACGTACTCAATTGGGGATAAGTCGGGAGATCTTGGTGGCCATGGTAACAATGTGACATCATTATGTTGAAAGAAGTCTATTGTGACTCTTGCAACATGTGGTCGGGCATTATCTTGTTGGAAAGTTGGATCTGTCAGGGTGTCAAGATAGGGTAAAAGATGGGGTTCTAGAACTTCGTGGATATAACGCTGCGCGTTCATGTTACCTCTGATGAAGATTAAAGGTGACCTGGAACCATAAGCTATAGCACGCCAAACCATAACTCTAACAGTGTGATGAACATGTCTTTCAACAAAAAACTGTGGATTCCTCGTTTCACCACGTCGCCTTCTAACCCTGGCATGACCATCGTGCATGCCTAAACAAAATCGAGACTCGTCACTAAAGACAATACTGTTCCATTCCTGATCCCAGAGTGACCGTTGTCTGCACCACTCAAGGCGATTTCGTCGATGTTCTCGAGTTAAAGGGAGGACCCAGTGTGGCCGGTATGAAAACAAGCCAAAACTTCTCATTCGTTGGTAAACACTTCCCATGCCAATAGGTCTTCCGTGTTGTGCAAACCATTCATTTGCAATGGACCTGGTAGTGGAGAAACGGTCCCTTAAGGCCAATAATCTTAGGCGGCGATCTTCACGGTCTGTTGTTCTACGGCGGCGTCCAGTGCCCCTTGCTCTTGGCGTACGGTCTTCTCGAAGCCATGCCTGACAACACCTAACCACAGTGTCTACACTTCTTTGCACTCTAACTGCAATTGCCCGAAAAGAAAGTCCAGCTTCCCGAAGTCCCACTATACGGCCCCTATCAAACTCACTAAGTTGACGAAATCGTACAGGTCTCCGTACTCTAGGCATCGTAACCGATCGTAAAGGATGTCAAGAACCAAAATCCGCCAACGTTGATTCTTTACTGCGGCTGAAATATTCATTTTTAGAGCGTTAGTGAATTAAAAAAAAGGAGTATAAAAAGCGGAATGTCCAACTGATAAGGCTGAAAATTTTTTCACTTGTTATTTACAGTAAGATAAATGCATTCACCAACTTTTATTAAAATAAAACCATTTAAACTGGGTGTTCGGATTTATATGTCACTTAGTATAACAAACCTGCTCAGTGTCGGCACTAGACCATATATGGATGTCAACGAAATCAGCTTCGTGCAGCTCATTCCGTTTCCCGCAAAGAAACAAAAAGTACTTAATTGATTAAATGTTCTAAATTAGACGTTTAAATCATTTTGTTATACCACCCTTGTATACCTTTTTGCCTTCAATGTCAATCATACTGTTGAAAGCGGCACTACTGATAGAAAGTTGCCGGAACAATTTTTTGCTCTCTTTTTCTTCTTCAGGTAAAGTTGATTCTTGCATAACATTATGGAAGCTACCTTGTGTCTTCGACAGCTCTTGATATGTGCCTCTGGCCTGCAAATTGTACATTTTCGCGATCCAACAAAAAATCATAAAAAGAATCCCAAAAAATATACTGGAGTGTTACACCCAGAAAAAATAATTTCCTCAACTAGTCTTACATCAAGAATGAAACGATAACATTCTCACGAACTTTTATTGACAAGTAGTAAGAAAAAAGTTATTAACGTGTTGGGCGACCCCGCAGCTAAATACACTCCTGATCACGACTAGGCATCGACAAAATGAGATAATGTCTGGTTGTGGCACCTCATTCCAAGCAACTCGAACTTCGTGGAAGAGTCTGTGGCAGATGGTGCAAAGTGGATAGTTTCCTCACCATCATATCCCGGTAAAACACTAACGCCTGCTTCTTGAAGAAAGTCTAGGACGTGATCAACATAACGCGCAGCAGTCATATTGCCTTGAACAAAGAGAAGGTGGATCGGCCAGACAATAGTCCGCCTAATCCAAATATTACGCCATTCTCCACGACGGCGTCTACCCTTCTACGACCATCGTGCGTACCTAGACCGAATCGCGATTCGTCGCTGCAGATGACATTATGCCTCCCAATGTTGCCGTTCTCTGCTCCAGTTCAGACGTTGACGACAGTGGTCCGCAGTCAGAGGAAGCACTAGCCGTGGACGGTCTAAAAAAAGTCCAAAGGCTTGACTGCGGCGATAGAGTGTGCGCATAGTAACAGGAATAATCTGCTCCGAACCACTGGTCAGCGATCTGACGCGTAGTGGCAAAACGGTCGTTGTCTGAAGTGCCTATCTTGACGCTCTGTGGTACGCCTCGGTGGACCAGCTGGCCTTCTTCGTGTTCCTCTTCCCTCTTCTATCCACACACGACACACACGCATTACCGTCATTCCAGTACTCTCAACGCTGCGGCTAATTTCGCGATAGGACAAACCAACATCTCGATAGGCAATAAGTCTACCACTAACATGGTCGTAATTTGAACGTTTCCGAACTCGAGGCAACACTAGTAAATAATAATAATAATAATAATAAATGGTCTTTATTCATTATAAATAACTTGAGGATAAAAAAAAGAAATTTTTTTAAAGATAAAATGATGAAAGGCGTAGTTCAGCCTAAGCTGCTTTTCAACTAAACCCACAAGAAAATAACACTCATACAATATATATATATATATAAAAAAAAAGATAATATGCAATACAAAACAGAAATGAAAGGGCAATAACTAAAAATACAAGGTGTCCGCAAAGTTGGGGTTTTCCTTTTCAGAAACAACTACCCTTGAAATAACAAAGGTAATGTGTAGTGAAACGAGGGCGACCAAGTGAAAAAAAATAAAGGAAAAAGTACTCACTCTCCAGTTGACGAGAAGGGTTAAGTACGTCTCTGCCCGAAATCATACCGCTCCAACAGAAAATGAAATCAGCTGATGCGCTACCGAGCAGACGCACCATGCCAGCCCAAACATTCACCGAAAATGTTTGTTGAAAATGTGCCCGACGGACAGCGTGCGGATTTTCTACTGACCAAACATGAGTGTTGCGAAAGTTATTCACCCCATTACGCGGGAACGTAGATTCGTCTGTCACCAATATGCACTTCAAAAAGTCGGGATTATTGTCATGTTGATGCAACAACCACTCACAAAACCGCACTCTCGCTGGAAAATCGTCAGGTTAAAGGGCTTGTATACGTTGGACGTGAAACGGATACAGCCCCTCTTCACGCAGCGTTTGCAACACTTTAGTTTTTGATACTTGCACTTCTCTAGCCACGTCTCTAGTGCTTGTTGAGGGATTCTCATCTACGCAATTACCTCTACAGGCGTGACCGTAACCGTCGGTTGAAGGTTGCATACTGACCTGACACACTGACCCCGCCCCAGTTTTGCCGTCGGGTTGAGACCTTGTAACAGTCGGGGATATCGCGGCGGGTCGCGGCTACAGGACGGTATTCAGATATTTTTGATGTTGCAGAGCCCTTTATCTCGGTTCCCTTAAGACATTGGTGTATATGGTACTGAGAAAAATTGCTTATGTTTTCAAGATCTACACGTCGTGTAAAGGAAAACCCCAACTTTGCGGACACCCTGTATTGTCACTACTCAGCGTTCAGAAACTGCTTTTTTCACAAAAACTAAGAGATAACATTTTAACAAAGGTAAACAAAAACAAAGATAAAACGTTAACATTGTTGCCATGCTGGTGTAGTGAAAAACAACTGAAATAGTCAACGATTTTGATCCAGAAGATGAAATTCCATTAAGTGATTTACTGAAAATTAATAGTTAACTGAATATAGAAAAATTTAATGAGTATGTAAATGTTGACACTAATTTAATAGCAACACAGGAATTGTCAAACTCCAATTTGGTTATTGAAGAATCCTTTGATAACGAACAGGAGGACGAACTAGAAAACAACGATGAAGAAGAGCATCCAATGACAACTATGGAGGCATCAGACTGGGTGAAAAAGTTATTTTCAGCAGGAAGAAGACGGTACACACTTACCAAATTAAATAAAATTCAACTAAATATACTAAGTGACATATAAATCTGAACACCCAGTTTAAATGGTTTTATTTTAATAAAAGTTGGTGAATGTATTTATCTTACTGTAAATAACAAGTGAAAAAATTTTCAGCCTTATCAGTTGGACATTCCGGTTTTTATACTGCTTTTTTTTAATTTACTAATGCTCTAAAAATGAATATTTCAGCCGCAGTAAAGAATCACGGTTGGCCGATTTTGGTTCTTGATATCCTTTACGATCGGTTACGATGCCTAGAGTACGGAGACCTGTACGATTTCGTCAACTTAGTGAGTTTGATAGGGGCCGTATAGTGGGACTTCGGGAAGCTGGACTTTCTTTTCGGGCAATTGCAGTTAGAGTGCAAAGAAGTGTAGACACTGTGGTTAGGTGTTGTCAGGCATGGCTTCGAGAAGGCCGTACGCAAAGTGCAAGGGGCACTGGACGCCGCCGTAGAACAACATACCGTGAAGATCGCCGTCTAAGATTATTGGCCTTAAGGGACCGTTTCTCCACTACCAGGTCCATTGCAAATGAATGGTTTGCAGAACACGGAAGACCTATTGGCATGCGAAGTGTTTACCGACGAATGAGAACTTTTGGCTTGTTTTCATACCGGCCACACTGGGTCCTCCCTTTAACTCGAGAACACCGACGTAATCGCCTTGAGTGGTGCAGACAACGGTCACTCTGGGATCAGGAATGGAACAGTATTGTCTTTAGTGACGAGTCTCGATTTTGTTTAGGCATGCACGATGGTCGTGCCAGGGTTAGAAGGCGACGTGGTGAAAGGAGGAATCCACAGTTTTTTGTTGAAAGACATGTATCATCACACTGTAGGAGTTATGGTTTGGGGTGCTATAGCTTATGGTTCCAGGTCACCTTTAATCTTCATCAGAGGTATCACGAACGCGCAGCGTTATATCCACGAAGTTCTAGAACCCCATCTTTTACCCTATCTTGACACCCTGGCAGATCCAACTTTCCAACAAGATAATGCCCGACCACATGTTGCAAGAGTCACAATAGACTTCTTTCAACATAATGATGTCACATTGTTACCATGGCCACCAAGATCTCCCGACTTATCCCCAATTGAGCACGTGTGGGATATGATGGGTAGGAGATTGCTCAATTTGCAACGTCCTCCTCAGACTCTAGAAGCACGTCGAGAGGAGTTGGTGGTTGCCTGGAATGAGATACCACAGGAGGACGTTGACCACCTCATCAAAAGCATACCTAGGCGCGATGGAGAATGCGTAGCACATCAGGGTACATCCACACATTATTAAAGGTCAAAGGGCTTTAAAGCAGTGTAATCATTTTGAAATTTTTATCATTTACTTATTATGCTTCATTAAGTACTTATACAAAATCTTATTAAAATAAAACCATTTAAACTGGGTGTTCGGATTTATATGTCAGTATAATTATACAAAAGAACAATCTGTACAAATGAAACTTACTAGTTTTTTTACCAAAGAGTTTACGGTGCAAATTTCAAAATTATGTAGAACTTTTTGTATGTATCTTCATTTATGTAATACATGTTAAACAAATGCATTTTAAGCTTTTAATGGTATTTCTGCTGCTTTTTTCATCGAAAAAAGTGTTTCTTTTAAGATGGTCATCCGCGGGTTGCATTGTAGTTATTATGCCAAAAAAACAAGTTGATGCATTTTTTTTCTGAGTGTAACACTTCTAGTGTCGCAGAGTATACTTCCAAATTTTGCGGTTTAGCAAGTTTAAATAACGTTTCCGCGAAGAACCTGGTGTTACCTGAACTCCTCCCTCCCACAATATAAGAATCTGATCAGCTCTTCTCAGATAGTGCAGTTGGTGTGTCACAAGTACGACGATTTTGTCTCCAAGATACTCTTTAATACATTTCTCGAATAAGTGTGAGCCTAGAATGAAATACTTCCAAGTATCTACGGAGATTCCCTGAATACGACATACACTACCGTTCAAAAGTATTTGAACACCCAGGAAACAAGGAAACTGATGGAAGAAAACATTACAATATACGTTTTTTTTACTCCGTTAATATCTTAAATTTTATTATAATTTTATTGTGAGGTTATTAATTATGATTGATTGTTCGACCATCTACTACTGTATTACCGGGTGGCGCATCGAAAACGAAACAGACGCATTTTGTTTGGAAAAAACGCTCAGTCCCATCGATTTTGTTTTTGGCAAAAAATCACGTTAACACGTGCAGCCCCCTGGGCGGGGGTGACACCAACCCTAAAATCTTAAATGGAAAGGGGGATCGAGCGATACCTTATTTTAAAGGTATTTCAATTCCCTTTATAATGATGTAAAATACATGAGGTTCAGTTCAGTAGTTTTGAAGATTTATTGACTTAAAGCTTAAAGTAGACTTTAACAGGTACATCAGATTAGTTTGTACTACTTTCAGAAGAAATTTGACGAAAATAATTTACTTAATAAATCAAAGCTTTTCTTCACTACGCCCATGGTTTGTTTATCATTTTGTTGTTGAAAATAGCTATTGGAGCGTTTTTTTGTGGCAAAAAATTTATTTCTTGAAGAAAGATAAGGAAATATCTCGTACTTATTTTTAATAGCAATTTAGTGTATAGTTTGCGATTGATTTGACTTTGTTGCTAAAATAACTTTTAACGCTTTATTACATAAATTAACCATGGTATATTCCACAGCAGAAAGAGTTGCAATTATCGAAATATTTTTCGGAAATATACTAAGTGACATATAAATCCGAACACCCAGTTTAAATGGTTTTATTTTATTAAAATTTTGTATAAGTACTTAATGAAGCATAATAAGTAAATGATAAAAATTTCAAAATGATTGCACTGCTTTAAAGCCCTTGGACCTTTAATAATGTGTGGATGCACCCTGATGTGCTACGCATTCTCCAACGCGACTAGGCATGCTTCTGATCAGGTGGTCAATGTCCTCCTGTGGTATCTCATTCCAGGCAACCACCAACTAGTCTCGAAGTACTTCTAGAGTCTGAGGAGGACGTTGCAAATTGAGCAATCTCCTACCCATCATATCCCACACGTGCTCAATTGGGGATAAGTCGGGAGATCTTGGTGGCCATGGTAACAATGTGACATCATTATGTTGAAAGAAGTCTATTGTGACTCTTGCAACATGTGGTCGCGCATTATCTTGTTGGAAAGTTGGATCTGCCAGGGTGTCAAGATAGGGTAAAAGATGGGGTTCTAGAACTTCGTGGATATAACGCTGCGCGTTCATGTTACCTCTGATGAAGATTAAAGGTGACCTGGAATCATAAGCTATAGCACCCCAAACCATAACTCCAACAGTGTGATGAACATGTCTTTCAACAAAAAACTGTGGATTCCTCCTTTCACCACGTCGCCTTCTAACGCTGGCACGACCATCGTGCATGCCTAAACAAAATCGAGACTCGTCACTAAAGACAATACTGTTCCATTCCTGATCCCAGAGTGACCGTTGTCTGCACCACTCAAGGCGATTACGTCGGTGTTCTCGGGTTAAAGGGAGGACCCAGTGTGGCCGGTATGAAAACAAGCCAAAACTTCTCATTCGTCGGTAAACACTTCGCATGCCAATAGGTCTTCCGTGTTCTGCAATCCATTCATTTGTAATGGACCTGGTAGTCGAGAAACGGTCCCTTAAGGTCAATAATCTTAGGCGGCGATCTTCACGGTCTGTTATTCTACGGCGGCGTCCAGTGCCCCTTGTTCTTTGCGTACGGCCTTCTCGAAGCCATGCCTGACAACACCTAACCACAGTGTCTACACTTCTTTGCACTCTAACTGCAATTGCCCGAAAAGAAAGTCCAGCTTCCCGAAGTCCCACTATACGGCCCCTATCAAACTCACTAAGTTGACGAAATCGTACAGGTCTCCGTACTCTAGGCATCGTAACCGATCGTAAAGGATGTCAAGAACCAAAATCCGCCAACGTTGATTCTTTACTGCGGCTGAAATATTCATTTTTAGAGCGTTAGTGAATTAAAAAAAGCAGTATAAAAACCGGAATGTCCAACTGATAAGGCTGAAAATTTTTTCACTTGTTATTTACAGTAAGATAAATACATTCACCAACTTTTATTAAAATAAAATCATTTAAACTGGGTGTTCGGATTTATATGTCACTTACAGACTGTGATATGGATATTATAGATATAGTAGCATTAATGCTAAATAAATCTGAAACGAACAAAAACGAACTTGTTGAACAATCTTGAACTATAAGGTATAGAAGCACGGTTAGTTTATCAAATGAAACAAGACAACTGAAGCAAAACTGTGTGATGGGCTTATGAACCACACAATTCAAAATAAATGCTCGAAAAAGAAATCCTGAGAAAGAATTCCTATCCAAAAACGTAACAATATTCTAAAGCCAAAGAAATTCCTATTACGGCTAATAATGAGATTTCAATAATTTTGATTTCAATCACTTTTGAGTGATGGTGATGCTTTTCAATAAATAAAGAAAAATAAATACGTACTGAATAGTTTTTGTTTTTTTATGATTTTAAATGGGAATATGGTGTTCAAAAAAAAAAACAAGCGTTCTTCAGGCACCGATGAAGTTCCGAATTTCTTAGTCAAGAAAATATTATTGTACATAACCAAACCTTTTGTTTTTCTAGTTAATTTATCATTCTGCACTGGTGTATTTCCAAACAACCTGAAAACAGGAAAAGTAACTCCAATTCTTAAGAAAGGAGATACTTCTTTGGTTAGCAATTACAGACCGGTGACTGTTCCATGCTGTTTTTCCAAGATTCTTGAGTATTGTTTTTTAGATCGACTTCTGCGGTTCTTGGAAAGCAATGACACTCTATCATCCAATCAACATGGTTTCCGTATTGGAAAATCAACCATGACCGCATGTCGTTCATTTATCAACAGGTTAGTCTACTGTATTGAGGCAGGAGAATGCCCGGTTGGGATATTTTGTGACCTCAGTTGTGTCAGTCATGACATACTATTAGCCAAACTAACAGACTATGGAATTGGTGGTACAGCCTACCTGTGGATAAAATCGTACTTGCAGAATAGGTCACAATTCGTGGCAATAACACACAACAACGCTGGTCAACTGAAGCAGGTCAAATCGGGTATGGTCAACATAAATATAGGCGTACCACAAGGATCTATATTGGGGCCAGTGCTGTTTTCCCTTTATATAAATAACCTGGAGCAATGTTTCCCTGAAGCACATTTCACGTTGTATGCAGACGATGCCTCCATCATTATATCAAATAAAGACGAGGCTGATTTAATAAATAAATGTAACACCTTAGTGTACAACATCAATAGCTGGTTTGAAGAAAATCAGTTACTTCTTAATAGCGAGAAGACCACAGTTATAAGGTTCCATAACATTCGAAAGTCAATACCAGCGATTCAGCACTGCAGAGTGATAAAAGCACCAAGTTTTTAGGGCTCCACCTAGACCAATGTCTCAACTTCAAAGGACATTGCGATTATCTATCATCAAAAATAAATTCACAAGCATATTTATTCAAGAACCTGAGATCTGTTTTCACAGAGAATCAGCTATTGATGTTGTATCATGGTCAGGTTGAGTCTCGCATGCTGTATGCTTTGTGCTTCTGGGGTTCATCGGTGAACGCTTCTAAGGTGTTCCTAAGTCAAAAACGGCTGGTGAGGTGTATGGTGGGAGTAAGCAGCACTTATAGTTGCAGAGAATTATTCAAGAGATTAAAAATGATGACACTGCCTTCGCTTTTTCTCTACAATATGGCTCTCTATACTTTTTTAAACAAAGATGATCTCACCTTGAATAGTCATATACATCAAATGGGCACTCGCAGACAAAACGACATCCATATACCTTTTGCGCGTTATAAGTTAGGCAGCAGATCACCATGTATTTTAGGTCCTAAAATTTTTAACAACCTGTCTGACTCCATAAAAAGGATCACCTCAATAGGCCAATTCAAATCTGAACTGAAAAGCTACTTTATAAGTAACTGTTTTTATGCAATTAGCGACTTTGTCAGTTTTTAAATATCTTTTTTTATCACTAATTTTAACTTGTTTGTTGTTGGATGTTATTTGTTTGTATTTTCATTTATTTATTTACTTTGTACATATTTACTTATTGTATTTTTTTGACGAAACCTATACATGTTCATGCATGTCTAATGGAAAATAAATTCATTATTATTATTAAATACTTTTGTATGGTAGTGTACGTCTAATACGAGGGCGGTTCGATAAGTACTCGCATCACCTTATCGGAGAGCTCGCAAAATTAAACACCCGAGCACCTCGAAAACGGTCTAAGGCAAGGCTTAAAAATATCATAAAGCAACTTACGCCTGAAAATGATGATTTCTGTAAAATTACGTCTTACCAACTTGGATATCGACAGCCGATAACGGATCGTCCAGCAAATATATCTCGGACCGTTTGTACACAGCTCTGGCCAAATTGATACGCGCCCTTTGACCGCCGCTCAGCGATATTCCTCTTTCTCCGACTATTGTTCGATCGCCGAAAGGCAGCAGTTGGAAATCACGGGTTAGCGAGCATACCTTCACCACGTCCCGGTATCGGTTCAGATCGAATTCTCTGCCGAAAAGGATGTTCTGCCTGACGGAACCTTGATCGTAAACGTTTAAATACATATAATAATCATAAAATGGTGAGTGAACGAGAACGACTCGAATCGGGTACAAACAAAAAAAAAGGAAAATGAAAATCGGTTAATGTGTTTCCGTGATATGAACAAGCAAAATTTTCATTGGCTTTAATTTGCTTTTCTGATTGTATCCACGGTTTGAGCTGTCTTAAAGGGTAAATTAAAATGGTGTCTCAATACACAAGTTTTAGTCACTCTGTGGTGTGATTCTCGTATAGATCTACAGTGGACCTCCGGTAATCCGACAAACATTATGCAGGGCAGTGTCGGACTATCGAATTTGTCTGATTATACAGGGTGACTTTGAAGTTGAGTCATTAATTTTCAGATAATGATTGTAGAAGGAAGATAAACCAAAATATGTGTGTAAAAAAAAATTAAAAACAAAATTTACCTTGTTTTATAAAGTATCATCCCGACAAGTATTTCAGTGCGGACCTGTATTTGATCGTGAGGTCTTGGAGCACCGGCATGCCGTCCCCTGTGAGGTCTTAAGTCACCTGATTCACGAGCCCGTTGTACTACATTAACAAAGGCACGAGGGGTTGGTTGCACTCGATTGGGAAACCGATCCGCATAAACATGTGCCATTTTTTATTTCGTTTGAGCCACGCAACAGACACTACTATTCACTCACGCGTTACCGACTGACACTGACTGTATACAACTGAATAAAATAATTGTAAAAACATCGTTCCAAATTCTTTCGCTTTTTTGTTTCCGATGCGATGAACCGATAAGGCGGATTATATCCGTTGTTGCCAAACCCTGCCAGTAGCCTGCTGTCCTGTCCCCCCTGGGTAACTCAGATCACGGTGTTGTGGAGGTTAGGTTTCGGTCAGAAGCCGCTGTGGCAGCAGAAACTCGCACAGGCCGCAAAACTTGGCATTACGGACATGCCGACTGGGAGGGGCTCAGAGACTTCTTCTCTAGCTTTCCTTGGAGAGATGTCTGTTTCACTGACGCAGATGCGTCGACTGTCTGTTCTTCAATAACTGAAATTATCCACGTCGGAATGGAGGAATACATCCCTCACACAGTGAAAGTTCCTAAACCAGGGTCCAACGCCTGGTTCAACAAATCGTGTGACACTGCTCGCCAGCAGAAGATCAAGGCCCACAGAACCTACTTACAAAACCCCACTATAGAGAACAGACAAGCCGACGTCGAGTCCAGAAACAAATATAACGAAGCGGTTCGCAATGCCAAAACCCAGCATGATATAAAAGTTAGGCACAGGGTAATGTCGCAGCGAAATGGCAGTCGGTCTTTCTGGACGCTGGCCAAGCAGATTGAAAAGAACTTCTCACACAGTAGCCTTCCACCACTTACGTGTCAGGATGGAACTATTGTATTCGACTCAAAGGCCAAGGCGGAAGTGCTAGCCAAGATCTTTGCTGCCAACTCCACCATGGACGTCCCCACCAACGCCCAAGTGCCGTCAATTCAAAGGGTTCCCCACACTATGCGGGAGGTAACATTCAGGCATAAGACCGCAAGACGAGTGCTCTTGTCGCTCGACATCAACAAAGCTTCTGGTCCGGACTTGATTCCTGCCATTGTACTGAAGAGATGTGCAGCTGAGCTTGCTCCAGTTCTTTCGCGTCTCTTCCAGATATCTTATGAATCCGGCACCTTCCCAGAAAACTGGAAATTTGCTCATGTACAGCTCATCCCAAAAAAAGGATCTAAAACCGACCCTTACAACTACAGGCCTATAGCTCTGCTTTCTGTTATAAGTAAAGTGATGGAGAGGTGCATAAATCGCGAGCTTCTGGACTACCTCGAACGTCACAGCTTGATTAGCGACAGGCAGTACGGTTTCCGGCACCAACGATCCACAGGGGACCTCCTAGCTTACGTCACGCAACTGTGGAGTAAACTCATCCAGTCTCATGGTGAGGCTCATGTCGTTGCTCTTGACATCACGAAAGCCTTCGATCAGCTGTGGCACGCTGCCCTCTTGAGCAAACTTCCATCCTACGGCCTCCCAGAAAAGCTTTGCAGATGGGCGGCTGACTTTATCTCTGGCCGCAAGATATCCGTCGTAATTGACGGATTCTCCTCTTCATCCCACAACGTCAACGCGGGTGTTCCCCAGGGATCGGTCTTGGCTCCAACACTGTTTCTCTTACATATCAACGACCTCCTTTCCTGCACGATCAACCCAATCCACAGCTTCGCTGATGACAGCACTCTACATGCAGGAATTCAGAGTGACAAGCCGATCTCTGCCGCTGAGCTGGAAAAAAGAAGACTAGCGACGACTTCTTCTCTGACAAGAGACCTGGACGCTATCACTGCTTGGGGACGCAACAATCTTGTACAGTTCAATGCTTCCAAAACACAGTACTGTACTTTGACGAACAAAAAGCGTCCTAGCGCTCATACAGTTTCGATGGACGGTCGAGTTCTACCAAAGAGCCATTCATTTCGGCTGGTCGGAGTCTAGATCACCGAGGACCTGATCTGGCACGAACACATCTCTTCAATAGCTGCAGCTGCTGGGAAAAAGCTAGGCTATTTGTTTAGGGCTAAGAAGTACTTCTCTCCGCATGACCTTCTCACTCTATACAAGGCCCAGATAAAGCCCAGCCTCGAGTATTGCTCACACATTTGGGGTGCTGCCGCCCCGACTACATTGTCCATGCTCGATGCTGTCCAGAGGAGGGCGGTCCGACTGATCGATGACTCTTCTCTAACAAACAGTCTCGGGACTCTTTCGCACCGGCGGGCCGTCGGCGATCTAGCTCTTTTCTATCGCTACACCCACGGGCTTTGCTCCTCAGAGCTCTCTTCCATGATGCCGCCGCGCGATGTGCCTGCCAGACAGACCCGCCTGACTTCGGCGTCCCATCCTAACCGTGTCAAACTTCGTACATCCAGAACTGGCCGATACGACCGCTCCTTTGTCCCGAGGGTGTCTAGATTGTGGAACAATCTACGGGAGGAAGCTTTTCTCTGTTCTACTAACCTTAGGCAGTTCAAAAATCGTATTAACAAAATTTCTTTGGGATCATCATAGCAGCCGCGGTGTTCCGGCATTTAGGCTTCTGCCTGCGCGGCTGTTTCGATATAAAAAAAAAAATAAAACACGAGCACATAATATTATTATTGAGACAGGGCGGTACTCAAACTTCCAAAGCCCTTTGGAAGTTTGACGCCAAAAAAGCCCTGATTCGTCTGCATTGTACACCTGTGACGGGTCAAGATTTAAATCGTTCACCTTTTGCAAAAATCTTAATTTAAAGGGCTCTATGCAGGTGGCATCGTTAGAAAGTTTCTCTCCTGTAATAGTCATTGAACGTACAAGTATGTCATGACGACTTTTAAAACGTTCTAGCCATCCTTTACTGGCCACAAAATCATCTTTTTTGTTATTTCCTTATAAAAAAACATAGCTTTCATGGCCAACATGGGTCCTGAAATTGGTGCATGCCTATTTCTTTCCTGAAGAAAGCACATGTACAAAGCTTCTTTCACTTCTGGATGTTCATCTTTCTTGAGTGTCTGTCTCTTTAATGTCATAAATTGTAGATCGGCCTACGCCGTATTCACTTGCTAAACTACTGAAAGTTTCATTGCGATTTAAGCGGTCTAAAATATCACATTTTTCTTTAATTGTCAATGTTTTGTGCTTTCGCTTCCGAGTTTGTGATGACATTACTAGGTACTATACTTAATACACAATGAATAAATAGTAAACAATGAACGCACGCTAGGCCGTACCGCTATCATCAGTAGTCAAATTCAAACTAAGTAAAACAATGCTTACACGCCGAGCACGATAGCGGTGGCGCGTACAAGTTGTAACCTGCTCAAACCTGCGTGATCTACATTAGCGAAAATTGTCAAATACGTATGCATGTAATACATATTCAAAGACATGTCGGATTACAGGGGGCGCCGAATTAGACAGATTCCGGATTATCGGGGGTCCACTGTAATAGAATACAAACAAAATAAAATTGAAGTTCCGAAGCAACAGTAAGAACAATTCTCCTTTATATTTACATTCAAAGAAAGAATCACGCAAAAACGCTTTAAATTTATCATCATTAATCACGAATAAATACATTTTGGGAAACATGACGCATGGCGCTTACCTGTTCAATTATTCACTGTCTTTATGCTAAAGTGGAAATGTTAACATTATTTATTTCTGTTAAGTTACCTGCAAAAAGCCAAGCTTCCTGCGAAGCATAAGAAATGGTACCGGTAGTGATCAATTTACCACTGAAGAGTTCCAATTCACCCATTATCAAATTGAGGAGACACGTTTTACCGGAACCGACCGGTCCAATAACAATTGTCAATTTTCCGGGCCATACTTCAAGGTTTATGTTGTGCAAGCACATGTCACTACCATACTTCGCGATCGCGTGCTTTATCTGGAACATTAATACGGAAACATATACTAAGTGATATGTAAAATTCAACACCCAGAATTATTTATACTAAGTGACATATAAATCCGAACACCCAGTTTAAATGGTTTTATTTTAATAAAATTTTGTATAAGTACTTAATGAAGCATAATAAGTAAATGATAAAAATTTCAAAATGATTGCACTGCTTTAAAGCCCTTTGACCTTTAATAATGTGTGGATGCACCCTGATGTGCTACGCGTTCTCCAACGCGCCTAAGCATGCTTCTGATCAAGTGGTCAATGTCCTCCTGTGGTATCTCATTCCAGGCAACCACCAACTACTCTCGAAGTGCTTCTAGAGTCTGAGGAGGACGTTGCAAATTGATCAATCTCCTACCCATCATATCCCACACGTGCTCAATTGGGGATAAGTCGGGAGATCTTGGTGGCCATGGTAACAATGTGACATCATTATGTTGAAAGAAGTTTATTGTGACTCTTGCAACATGTGGTCGGGCATTATCTTGTTGGAAAGTTGGATCTGCCAGGGTGTCAAGATAGGGTAAAAGATGGGGTTGTAGAACTTCGTAGATATAACGCTGCGCGTTCATGTTACCTCTGATGAAGATTAAAGGTGACCTGGAACCATAAGCTATAGCACCCCAAACCATAACTCCAACAGTGTGATGAACATGTCTTTCAACAAAAAACTGTGGATTCCTCCTTTCACCACGTCGCCTTCTAACCCTGGCACGACCATCGTGCATGCCTAAACAAAATCGAGATTCGTCACTAAAGACAATACTGTTCCATTCCTGATCCCAGAGTGACCGTTGTCTGCACCACTCAAGGCGATTACGTCGGTGTTCTCGAGTTAAAGGGTGGACCCAGTGTGGCCGGTATGAAAACAAGCCAAAACTTCTCATTCGTCGGTAAACACTTCGCATGCCAATAGGTCTTCCGTGTTCTGCAAACCATTCATTTGCAATGGACCTGGTAGTGGAGAAACGGTCCCTTAAGGCCAATAATCTTAGGCGGCGATCTTCACGGTCTGTTGTTCTACGGCGGCGTCCAGTGCCCCTTGCTCTTTACGTACGGCCTTCTCGAAGCCATGCCTGACAACACCTAACCACAGTGTCTACACTTCTTTGCACTCTAACTGCAATTGCCCGAAAAGAAAGTCCAGCTTCCCGAAGTCCCACTATACGGCCCCTATCAAACTCACTAAGTTGACGAAATCGTACAGGTCTCCGTACTCTAGGCATCGTAACCGACCGTAAAGGATGTCAAGAACCAAAATCCGCCAACTTTGATTCTTTACTGCGGCTGAAATATTCATTTTTAGAGCGTTAGTGAATTAAACAAAAGCAGTATAAAAACCGGAATGTCCAACTGATAAGGCTGAAAATTTTTTCACTTGTTATTTATAGTAAGATAAATACATTCACCAACTTTTATTAAAATAAAACCATTTAAACTGGGTGTTCGGCTTTATATGTCACTTAGTATATTTATTTGCGCTGCAATGTTTCACTCAAAATCGATGAAACTTGGCGTAGAAATGGAAAAGTTCTTACGATCACAGAAGGTAGCTCTCCGGGAGTTAATGGACGATTTATTTTCATCGGGTATCTATCAGGTTTTTGCAGCCAGTTTACGTCCAGAGGTGTTGGATCACCAATATCCGTCTCTTCAGTCAACATAAACTCCTCTATTCGCTTTATCGATACAAATGCTTCCGCTACCTACGGTATTTTTTTGTATTTCTTATGTTCACTGTGCCTCCTGATAATACAGGGTGGCCGATATGTAACTGACTGTTAAAAAAGTCAGGAGATGTTAAATCCGGTGACCTTGGTGGACAGTTGACAACACCAAATCAAAAAATTAAATGTTCCAGAAATATTGTTCGCAAAAAAATAATTGTATTGCTAGGTGTGTGACAAGTTGGTGCGACCTGCAATTACCAGCAGAACGATGTCTGGTAGACGTCTCAGGGCGCTCCACTACACTTTCACGAACTCTCTCGACATTTTCCGAAGGACGAACAGTCGAACACGCGCAAGCATTTTAAATCGATCAGTTATATATTGGCCACGCTGTATTATTTCTATAAAAAACGAATCATGCTCAATTTTGAGATACTGATGTTCCCTAACCTTAAAAAACGCCTGGATCGCTGGTCATTATGTCGAACTAGCAAAAAAATTGTAAATAGAAAACGCAATACCGCAAATTAGGGGATGCTGCTTACCAACGCGACTCCTTGCGGAAAAAATACAGTCATCGTCTGCCTTAAAACCTGATAATACGACGTAACTAAGAATACTTTCTCGGCCGTAATTTCGTTGTCGTCTAACACGTAGGACATCACTGTGATGAAAATTCCGAATCTGGTCGTGAACATGATGAACGACATTATCATACCTCTCACGATCGAAGTTTGAAGCAGATATTTCAGTTCCTTCCTGAAAAGGGAGCTCGTAAAGGAATATCCAAATCACAAATAAAATTAAATATACATACTTCCTCAGATCGCGGATGAGGTCCGAAAATGCGTTTTCCCAAGCGTACATTTTTATCACTTGCATTGACTGTATTATCTCGTTCATCTGTCTTACTCTGTTATCTGTTCTAGCTCCGGCCTTCTTTCTTAAACTCGCTAGTCGTATACCAAAACAAACTAGAAATTATAATAAAATTTGACACTTTAGGAACCTTATTTTTTAAACAACTACGTAAAAAAACTTGCGTAGAAAAAATGGCGCCTACGTACAAAAATAGCTCTAAGATCAACGTTTCCAATGGTAAGTTAGTTTTCTCAAATAGAAAAAAATTCTGTGCCTGAATTAAAAGTAGAAAAAATGGCGACTATGTACAAAAATAGCTAAAAGATCAACGTTTCCAATGGTAAGTTAGTTTTCTCAAAAAGAAAAAAATTCTGTGCCTGAAAAAATTTGGGAACTTTATTTTTGAGACAACTACGCCAAAAAAAAATGCGTAGAAAAAATGGCGCCTACGTACAAAAATAGCTCAAAGATCAACGTTTCCAATGGTAAGTTAGTTTTCTCAAAAAGAAAAAAATTCTGTGCCTGAAAAAATGTGGGAACTTTATTTTTGAGACAACCACGCTAAAAAAATAATGTGTAGAAAAAATGGCGACTATGTACAAAAATAACTCAAAGATAAGCGTTTCCAATGGTAAGTTAGTTTTCTCAAAAAGAAAAAAATTCTGTGCCTGAAAAATGTGGGAACATTATTTTTGAGACAACCACGCCAAAAAAATAATGCGTAGAAAAAATGGCGACTATGTACAAAATAGCTCAAAGATCAGCGTTTCCAATGGTAAGTTAGTTTTCTCAAAAATAAAAAAATTCTGTGCCTGAAAAAATGTGGGAACTTTATTTTGAGACAACCACGCCAAAAAAATAATGCGTAGAAAAAATGCGTACAAAAATAGCTCAAAGATCAGCGTTTCCAATGGTAAGTTAGTTTTCTCAAAAAGAAAAAAATTCTGTGCCTGAAAAAATGTGGGAACATTATTTTTGAGACAACCACGCCAAAAAAATAATGCGTAGAAAAAATGGCGACTATGTACAAAAATAGCTCAAAGATCAGCGTTTCCAATGGTAAGTTAGTTTTCTCAAAAAGAAAAAAATTCTGTGCCTGAAAAAATGTGGGAACTTTATTTTTGAGACAACCACGCCAAAAAAATAATGCGTAGAAAAAATGGCGACTATGTACAAAAATAGCTCAAAGATCAGCGTTTCCAATGGTAAGTTAGTTTTCTCAAAAAGAAAAAAATTCTGTGCCTGAAAAAATGTGGGAACTTTATTTTTGAGACAACCACGCCAAAAAAATAATGCGTAGAAAAAATGGCGACTATGTACAAAAATAGCTCAAAGGTCAACGTTTCCAATGGTAAGTTAGTTTTCTCAAAAAGAAAAAAATTCTGTGCCTGAAAAAATGTGGGAACTTTATTTTTGAGACAACCATGCTAAAAAAATAATGCGTAGAAAAAATGGCGACTATGTGCAAAAATAGCTCAAGGATCAACGTTTCCAATGGTAAGTTAGTTTTTCAAAAAAAAACTCCATGAGCCTGAAGACATGTGGGAACCTTGTTTGAAACAACCACGTCAAAAAAGAAAATGCGTAGAAAAAATGGCGACTATGTACAAAAATAGCTCAAAGATCAACGTTTCCAATGGTAAGTTTGTTTTCTCAGAAAGAAAAAAATTCTGTGCCTGAAAAAATGTGGGAACTTTATTTTTGAGACAACCACACTAAAAAAATAATGCGTAGAAAAAATGGCGACTATGTACAAAAATAGCTCAAAGATCAACGTTTCCAATGGTAAGTTAGTTTTCTCAAAAAGAAAAAAATTCTGTGCCTGAAAAAATGTGGGAACATTATTTTTGAGACAACCACGCCAAAAAAATAATGCGTAGAAAAAATGGCGACTATGTACAAAAATAGCTCAAAGATCAACGTTTCCAATGGTAAGTTAGTTTTCTCATAAAGAAAAAAATTCTGTGCCTGAAAAAATGTGGGAACATTATTTTTGAGACAACCACGCCAAAAAAATAATGCGTAGAAAAAATGGCGACTATGTACAAAAATAGCTCAAAGATCAGCGTTTCCAATGGTAAGTTAGTTTTCTCAAAAATAAAAAAATTCTGTGCCTGAAAAAATGTGGGAACATTATTTTGAGACAACCACGCCAAAAAAATAATGCGTAGAAAAAATGGCGACTATGTACAAAAATAGCTCAAAGATCAACGTTTCCAATGGTAAGTTTGTTTTCTCAGAAAGAAAAAAATTCTGTGCCTGAAAAAATGTGGGAACTTTATTTTTGAGACAACCACACTAAAAAAATAATGCGTAGAAAAAATGGCGACTATGTACAAAAATAGCTCAAAGATCAGCGTTTCCAATGGTAAGTTAGTTTTCTCAAAAATAAAAAAATTCTGTGCCTGAAAAAATGTGGGAACATTATTTTTGAGACAACCACGCCAAAAAAATAATGCGTAGAAAAAATGGCGACTATGTACAAAAATAGCTCAAAGATCAGCGTTTCCAATGGTAAGTTAGTTTTCTCAAAAATAAAAAAATTCTGTGCCTGAAAAAATGTGGGAACATTATTTTTGAGACAACCACGCCAAAAAAATAATGCGTAGAAAAAATGGCGACTATGTACAAAAATAGCTCAAAGATCAGCGTTTCCAATGGTAAGTTAGTTTTCTCAAAAATAAAAAAATTCTGTGCCTGAAAAAATGTGGGAACATTATTTTTGAGACAACCACGCCAAAAAAATAATGCGTAGAAAAAATGGCGACTATGTACAAAAATAGCTCAAAGATCAACGTTTCCAATGGTAAGTTTGTTTTCTCAGAAAGAAAAAAATTCTGTGCCTGAAAAAATGTGGGAACTTTATTTTTGAGACAACCACACTAAAAAAATAATGCGTAGAAAAAATGGCGACTATGTACAAAAATAGCTCAAGATCAGCGTTTCCAATGGTAAGTTAGTTTTCTCAAAAATAAAAAAATTCTGTGCCTGAAAAAATGTGGGAACATTATTTTTGAGACAACCACGCCAAAAAAATAATGCGTAGAAAAAATGGCGACTATGTACAAAAATAGCTCAAAGATCAGCGTTTCCAATGGTAAGTTAGTTTTCTCAAAAATAAAAAAATTCGGTGCCTGAAAAAATGTGGGAACATTATTTTTGAGACAACCACGCCAAAAAAATAATGCGTAGAAAAAATGGCGACTATGTACAAAAATAGCTCAAAGATCAGCGTTTCCAATGGTAAGTTAGTTTTTCTCAAAAATAAAAAAATTCGGTGCCTGAAAAAATGTGGGAACATTATTTTTGAGACAACCACGCCAAAAAAATAATGCGTAGAAAAAATGGCGACTATGTACAAAAATAGCTCAAAGATCAACGTTTCCAATGGTAAGTTAGTTTTCTCAAAAGAAAAAAATTCTGTGCCTGAAAAAATGTGGGAACTTATTTTTGAGACAACCACGCCAAAAAATAATGCGTAGAAAAAATGGCGACTATGTACAAAAATAGCTCAAAGATCAGCGTTTCCAATGGTAAGTTAGTTTTCTCAAAAAGAAAAAAATTCTGTGCCTGAAAAAATGTGGGAACTTTATTTTTGAGACAACCACGCCAAAAAAATAATGCGTAGAAAAAATGGCGACTATGTACAAAATAGCTCAAAGATCAAGCGTTTCCAATGGTAAGTTAGTTTTCTCAAAAGAAAAAAATTCTGTGCCTGAAAAAATGTGGGAACATTATTTTTGAGACAACCACGCCAAAAAAATAATGCGTAGAAAAAATGGCGACTATGTACAAAAATAGCTCAAAGATCAGCGTTTCCAATGGTAAGTTAGTTTTCTCAAAAATAAAAAAATTCTGTGCCTGAAAAAATGTGGGAACTTTATTTTTGAGACAACCACGCCAAAAAAATAATGCGTAGAAAAAATGCGACTATGTACAAAATAGCTCAAAGATCAGCGTTTCCAATGGTAAGTTAGTTTTCTCAAAAAGAAAAAAATTCTGTGCCTGAAAAAATGTGGGAACATTATTTTTGAGACAACCACGCCAAAAAAATAATGCGTAGAAAAAATGGCGACTATGTACAAAAATAGCTCAAAGATCAGCGTTTCCAATGGTAAGTTAGTTTTCTCAAAAAGAAAAAAATTCTGTGCCTGAAAAAATGTGGGAACTTTATTTTTGAGACAACCACGCCAAAAAAATAATGCGTAGAAAAAATGGCGACTATGTACAAAAATAGCTCAAAGATCAGCGTTTCCAATGGTAAGTTAGTTTTCTCAAAAAGAAAAAAATTCTGTGCCTGAAAAAATGTGGGAACTTATTTTTGAGACAACCACGCCAAAAAAATAATGCGTAGAAAAAATGGCGACTATGTACAAAAATAGCTCAAAGAGTCAACGTTTCCAATGGTAAGTTAGTTTTCTCAAAAAGAAAAAAATTCTGTGCCTGAAAAAATGTGGGAACTTTATTTTTGAGACAACCACTGCTAAAAAAATAATGCGTAGAAAAAATGGCGACTATGTGCAAAAATAGCTCAAGGATCAACGTTTCCAATGGTAAGTTAGTTTTCTCAAAAAGAAAAAATTCATGTAGCCTGAAGAAATGTGGGAACATTTGTTTGAAACAACCACGTCAAAAAAGAAATGCGTAGAAAAAATGGCGACTATGTACAAAAATAGCTCAAAGATCAACGTTTCCAATGGTAAGTTTGTTTTCTCAGAAAGAAAAAAATTCTGTGCCTGAAAAAATGTGGGAACTTTATTTTTGAGACAACCACACTAAAAAAATAATGCGTAGAAAAAATGGCGACTATGTACAAAAATAGCTCAAAGATCAACGTTTCCAATGGTAAGTTAGTTTTCTCAAAAAGAAAAAAATTCTGTGCCTGAAAAAATGTGGGAACATTATTTTTGAGACAACCACGCCAAAAAAATAATGCGTAGAAAAAATGGCGACTATGTACAAAAATAGCTCAAAGATCAACGTTTCCAATGGTAAGTTAGTTTTCTCATAAAGAAAAAAATTCTGTGCCTGAAAAAATGTGGGAACATTATTTTTGAGACAACCACGCCAAAAAAATAATGCGTAGAAAAAATGGCGACTATGTACAAAAATA